CCCCACCACCACCACCACCACCACCACCAGTAACGGTTCTATCACAGATCGACGTGCATGTGGCCGGCCTGGTAGTCCCTGTTGCATGAAATCTTTGTGTTCAAACAGAACCCTGTGATGTTGATCTGGTATCAGAGATGGAATGAGTCACGCCTGCAAGAGTGGGCACTGCCTTGCCGCAAGCTGCCAGGTTTCCCCTCCTATGGTGGGAGGCTTGGCTGCACGCTCCGCGGCGGCACCTGCGCTTGCCAAATGTTGTTCAGTCTTTTCTTCTTCAAATTTAGAGCTAAGTTTCTGTTACAAAGCTACCAAAAAAGGTTTTCAGAGCCAAAATAGCAGAGTTCACCAGTTTAGGCAACATCTTTTTGTGTCGTTCACACCTTATGTTTTATTATGTGGAAATGAGAAATTTGTGTCCTTGTAGTTCTTTTCTCTMTCTTCCAGTGTCTGAATGTGTTATTTACAGTCAGTTGAAGCAGTCTGGGATCGTTAGTGTTTTTGTTTCTTTTCTCTGTTATTTTGTCTATAAATGGTAAGTGCATTATAGTTTTTTGTTGTTGTTGTTGTTGTTGTTGTTGTTGTTGTTGTTGTTGTTGTTGTTGTTGTTTTTATACAGCAGATAGTCCTTTCAGAGCATGACAAGTCTGTAGAAATATGTTTTCTAGTTTCATTTTAGTTGTAAAAAAAAAAAAGCAAGAGAGCAGACAGGGGTGGGCAAGATCTGGCAATGACGGCACTGTTTTTAAGATTGTATGCCACCACTGGCCCAGTTGTGGTTTMGTTTACATAGCCCTAATCGGTCAATGTCACAACTAGCCGGGTTGTGGTTTAGTCAATGTGGTCCATACCTGTAAATGTCACCACTGGCCTGGTTGATGTTTGATTTACATGGCCCAAATTGGTCAATGCCACAACTGGCTTAGTTGTGGTTTGGTTTATGTGGCACAAATTTGTAAAATCCACAACTGGCCCATTTGAGATTTGGTTTACGTGGCCCAAATCTATCAGTGCCACAACTGGCCTAGTTGTGGTTTGGTTTATGTGGCCCAAATCTATCATTGTTACAAATGGCCCAGTGGTGGTTTGGTTTATGTGGCCCAAATCTATCAATGCCTCAAATGGTCAGATTGCATTTTGGTTCATGTAATGCTGGCCTATGGACTATTTAGCGGATATCATTTAGCGCCGCCTAATGGAAACGGCGTGCAATGGTTTGTGGGATTGTTGGGGGCAACCAAAAAATTTGAACAATGGGACAYGTTCTCATAGTTTAAAGTTTGGATTGTTGTGCATTTTAAAATGTTTCTTTTGGTTCATGAGGTACCAACGTCTAATCAGAAAAAGAACAAACTTGTCCAGAACTTTTATGCTACTCAAACGTTGGAATTATTACCTAAAATAGAAACCTGGAGATGCCAAACAGTAAGGTTATGCTGTTGTGCAATAATTTCATTCTATATATAATGTACAGTATAATCACTATAGTGTCTCACAATATCAAATCTATTACCAGAGAAAATTCCAGTATACAATGATTATATTAACAGCATTATGAGCAGTGGGACTGGGTGATAAAAAATATAATCTAATCTTGAGGCAGGCTGACCAAGGATTTATTAAATGCTGAGTATAAATATCTTTCTTGGCCACACATCAAATCTGGCATATATATTAATTCAAAGTATGTGTTTTTGTTTTAAAGCTGGTAAATGCATTTGTTTTTGTGATCTGTAGCCTTTTGCATGGTGTATTGTTAATAACCAAACCATACACCATTATATAGATGTGGTCAAGGTTTAAGATGGTCCATAGCTATATTTGTAATATTGAGTGGTCAAAATAATCTGTAGTTGGCAAATATGATCCATGGCCAAAACACGTCAACATATTTAACGCTAGATCTACTAGACCTAACTCATTTTCATGTGTCTGTGATCATTGTTGTAAATATACACAAGTAATACACAGGACAGCAATCTCCACGGCCCATTTTTACAGTCATTCAATTCATACATTGGCACCAGATGCCCCCAAACTAGACCATAATGCTTTGTGCTAGGCGAAGATACTAGTGTCTGCAAAATAGTCCATTTAAAGACCACTTCTTGCAAACCATGCCTTGGCCACCAAAGGGCCATCATTCTTTGCATTATCTTGGCCAAGTGTATCATATCCATAAGCTCAGTCTGGCCAGTWTTGCGTCAGAGTTCCGGTGTCCTTCACACTAGTGTCATGGATACACTGCCACCACAATGACGAACCATTAAAACCTTGTAATGGAAATTTGGTGTTGCATGGAGGCCAGTCAAATCTATTTGTATATCTGAAGACCATACCAAGACTTTGCACTAAGGTTGGGTGATATTAGCAAAAACTTAATCTCAGTTAACTGTGACATTTAATCCCATGACGATTATTGTGACGACTATTAGATGACAACTGTGCTTGCATGGTTTTGACTCTAACTTAGTTGCCCTATGTTCTAAAGTTATACTTACAAATCATCAGTCAAACTAACTTTTTCATTGAAACACGCCRCACGTTATCTACTTCCACATCTTACTTTGCTTCTAGTAAAGGACTGATTGACTGAGAGCATCTTGTATTAAGTAGATTTTTTTTCTCTATTCACTAGAAGAGAGTTTGTTGTAGCCGACTATGTATTATCTCCATGTTACTGTTAACTCTGCATTAGCATTAGCTTTAATGTTAGCTCCACACCAAATATTAATGTGTGAGTTTTTCTAATGATTAAGTGCACACAATATGATTTTACTCAACCATATTTTGAAAAAACATCCACATTCTGACTTTTAATGTCATATTGAGTCACCATCCAGTGTAAAGGGCGTCTGAAGGTTTTAGAAATGTTCGTAACTGAACAGAGAAAAACATTTAAACACAACAAGTCTTCGACTTTATTTAGTTTAGGATCTTCAGTCCTTCAGTGTTCTGTCTTGTCATTCATTTCACATTTCTCAAGGCTCGTGAAAATTGTAATTTGTTTAGATTTTGAAAAGAATGGAAGAACACAAGTGGCAATTGTGCTAGATTTTTCTGGAAAGCAGCTTTAACCTGAACCAAAACTCAACTCACAATAAAAAGCTGAATAAATAAACAAATAATGTATAAAGTACTTTCATATTCACCTATGTATGACCTGTTCTTCAACCGCAGGTCCTGAAGGGTTTTCCAGAGTGCCTGCAGGCCGACATCTGCCTCCACCTCAACAAGAGCCTCCTCCATGGCTGTAAGGCATTTCGTGGGGCAACTAAGGGCTGCCTGCGGGCACTGGCCATGAGGTTCAAGACGACCCATGCTCCCCCCGGGGATACGCTGGTCCACTCTGGAGACGTGCTCACGGCGCTCTACTTTGTGTCCCGCGGATCCATCGAAATCCTTAAAGATGACATTGTGGTGGCCATCCTGGGTGAGTTGAACCTGAACAAAAACTTGTAAAGCTGAAGAGTGTGGTTGGTTGAGTTGTTTGGTCATAAATGCTTTACAACCCCTGGAAAAATTATGGGACCACCGGCCTCGTCGGACGTTCATTCAGTTGATTAATTTTGTAGAAAAAACCAGATCACAGACATGACACAATACTAGTCATTTTCAAGTGGCAGCTTTCTGGCTTGAAGAAACACTAAAAGAAATTAAGAAAAAAATTGTGGCAAATTGTGTAACAGAAAGTTTTTGGCCAAGCGGAGGGGAAAAAATATGGAATTACTCAATTCTGAGGAAAAAATTATGGAATCATGAAAAACACACAAGCAAAAGAACACTCCAACACATCACTAGTATTTAGTTGCACCACTTTTGGCTTTTCTAACAGCTTGCAGTCTCTGAGGCATGGACTTGATGAGTGACTAACAGTATTCTTCATCAATTTGGTGCCAACTCTCTTGATAGCTGTTGCCAGATCAGCTTTGCAGGTCGGAGCCTTCTTGTGGACCTTTTTTTTTTCAATTTCCACCACAGGTTTTCAACTGGGTTGAGATCTGGACTATTTGCAGGCCGTGACATTGACCTTATGTGTCTTTTTTCAAGGAATGTTTTCACAGTTTTTGCTCTATGGCARGATGCATTGTCATCTGGAAAAATGTTTTTCATCATCCCCAAACATCTTTTCAGTTGATGGGATAAGYGAAGTGTCCAAAATYTCAATGTAAACTTGTGCATTGATGGAAGAATTAACCACAGTCATCTCCCCWGTGCCTTTGCCTGACATGCAGCCCCATYTCATCAAGGACTGTGGAAATGTGGTTGTTTTCTTCAGGCAGTCCTCTTCATAAATATCACTGGAACAGCACCAAACAAAAGTTCCAGCATCATCACCTTGTCCACTGCAGATTCTTGACTCATCACTGAATATGACTTCCTCAGAGGCTGGTGATTCCATAATTCTTTGCCAGGGGTTGTACAAACTTTACTAAAGACATCAACAAGGTGACAGAGTACACATAATGAGACAAAAGTAAAAATCAAAGTAGACACATGGTGCTTTTAAATCCTTTGTTTTCACATTTATATCACTCATTTGGGGTCAATATAATGAGGAATTACAATTCTTTGATCTGAATTCCTCATTTTTCTTTACCAGCCCTTTTTCACCCCTTTTCTGAGCTGTGTCTGCGATCAACTCAGTTTGATGCTGTCTCTTTAAATCCAAACGAAGCACTTCACACCCTGCATCCCTCCAGCTTCCAGACTGGTCCACTCCTGTTTCATTGAGGGTGTTAAGTCCATCTAGCAGCACAGAAGCATTTTATTTACAAATTAATTAAAAGATGTAAATAGGGCAAGACTTGACGTGTGACACAGACTGAGTGACAGTTAGGCCTGTCACGATAACAAATTTTGCTGGGCGATTAATTGTCTCAAAATTTATTGCGATAAACGATAATATTGCCTGGTGACCGTTTTACAACTAATAATTATATAAGCATAATTGTAATAAATCAATAAACTTTCATTTTTAAAAGAATGTTTAACAA